AAGGCCAGCCAGCAGCACACAGCACTGGCGGACGCAGTACACGAGTTCTCACAGAGCAGAGCGCTGGACGTTGCTGCTGTCATGACGACATTTACTGACACTGAGGGCCACTTCAACCGAGAGCTTGCTCTGTTTGTCTTTGACGAGAAGTTTGTCGACCACGCACGGTCCTTCGAGGCATGCGACGCGCACGTCCTGAGGCTGACCGAATGGAGGAAGCGGACGACAAAAGAGATGGCAGCTGATGTGGACATGAGGCTGAGCAACCTGGCAATCTCAGATAAAGAGGTTGCAACACCGTTCTTCAAAGCATGGCAGCAGGAGGAGCTGGCCAAGAGCCGGAAGCAGGTGGCACCGCTGCTTCGCAGAGCTATATCCGGTCAGGATCAAGAAGGGACCTGCACTCATCACATATGATCTGCCCGCGCGCGTGGTCGCTGGAGCTGCACATGGCGGACCGCGCGCTGGAAAGAGGCCTGGCAGTCGGCCTGCGCAGTGGCGTGGGCAACGCAGGCGGGCTGCACAAAGTCGCCTGGTTGCTAATGCCCTGCGCGATGTCGGTAGTCCATCCGTCATGATGTTATGTAACTCCTTGGCCGACCCTCCTTCACGATGCAACTCCGAAGCATCATGCAGGCTGTACAACAGCCGGCCGTACTCCAATCATGACCATCATGACGACCGCGTACTCCTCTCCAGCCCAGCAATAGCCTCATCTAGCAGCTTCTGAAGCTCCTTGGATCCGTCTGACGTCGCAGTCTCCACCTCGATGGCTTTCTCCAGCCACTCCTTCGCCTCCTCCCACCGCGTCATCTCAACGAGACACTTCCCGCCCCGGTACCACGCCTTGGTGTTCTTGACTGGACTGCACGAGATGCTTGTCTGCGCGTCCACCAGGCCCTCCGGCCACATGCGCTGGGCGACGTAGGCCTGAGCGCGATTCGAGTAGAGTACCGCCAGCTCTTCACGCACTAAATTTGCCGGCTCCCACAGCGGCCGGCCAAGCGCCATGTCGATTGCAAGGGTGTATAGCCTTGCAGCATCTGTGTGTGCGCCCTTGGTCAGGGACTGGTTTGCGGACTCCTTGAGCTTGGTGATCTGGTTGCTCCGCTTGGGATTGACTGGCAGTGGCGGTGGCGGCACGTTGCCTGGTGTCTCGAGGCTGAGCAGGCTTGTGTGTAGCTTGTTGAGTTGCTCTAGCTCGGCCGTGATCTCCTGCGAAGCACCTGGCAACGAGATGGCCTTCGACTGCGGGTCCAGGACCAGCGAGTGGTGGGTGTAGACGTCGATGTCCGACATGGCGTGGTTGCCGGCGATGCTGAAGCTGGGCGAGATGTGGCAAGCGACGCCTTGACCGTGATGAGATCGCTGCGTTATCCGGGACTGACGCTGATGCTGGTGATGGTGCTGGTCGTGAAGCTGGTGCTATGTCGTCTCACTACGCTAGGAAGGAGACACGGTGGCGGTGATGTGTAGTACTGCAATTGCGGCTCCGGCAGATTGACATCACCGGCCAGACCAGTATCCGAGGATAGTGGCACCGCCCCCTGAGCGTGACAGAGCAGAGACAGGAGACCTACTGACGGCGGCATTCGAGGGCGAGTGGGAGAGGCACAGACTACGGCGCTCGGGGTCTGGCATGCAGTGAATGTTATTTGTACTGTATGTATAGGATCGCAGGTCACTACTGGCCTGGGTCACATCGCAAGCACCAGTCTCCCAGAGACCGCGTCACTCAGACGTACTGCGACTTGTCGTCCTTCTTGGCACCGACAGCACAGCAGTTCGGCTCGACACCGGCAGCGACCTGGCTGGGCGTCCTGGCGTAGCTGGGGGGCACATCCAGCACCGGGTTGCGCTTGAAGAAGTGACGGGGTCTCAGGAGCAGGGACATGGGCTCGGCAGGCATGACGGGGAAATCCTCGGGAGAGGGGAAGTGCGTGATGCCGAACGTGTGCCAGAGGACGATGTCAGTGTTCTCGATGCTGGCGGTTGGGTTCTCCTCGATCCACTCGGGCAGGCCCTTGGAGGGCTTGCCAGATGTTTGGGGCACGTGCCGGCCGGCCGGGTAGAGCTGGTCGTCCTTGTACGGGGTGACGTGGACGGTGTGCCTGGCGAAGCCGGCGCGGTTCCAGACCAGCCCGCCAGGGGCCGGCATGAGAGGCACGGACTCGCGGCTGACGAGCTTGTAGGAGACGGGCTTGCCGCTGTGCGGGTTGAGCTTGTTCTCGTTGACGATGTCCCACGTGCGGCTGGTGGAGCCGTCGTAGTCGGCCATGCCCTCCAGCACGGTGCGGAGCTTCGTCTTCTTCGCGTAGAAGGCATTGCCCCACTTGTTCTCCTCGCTGCCGACGGGGGCCTCGCCGCGCGCAGCGTCGGTCTGCACGATCGTGTTGTTGTCGCCGTCGACGTTCGGGTCCACGCGCATGCAGAAGATGTGCTGGTGGTTGTGCGCGTTGACGCCAGGGTAGACCTGGGTGCCCCAGCCCTTGGTGTCCTCGTCGGGGTTCATGGCGTACGTGTTCAGGATGCCGGTGAGCTTGACGTCCAGCTGGATCGTCCCGTCCATGTGGAAGACGAAGTAGATGCAGTACTCGTAGTTCCCGGCAGTGAAGATCTGCGAGATGATCAGCTTGATGCCGCGAGTGACGATGATGGAGCCGTCGCGGAAGTCGGTGTGCTTGAAGAGGATGCCAGCATCCTCTTCGTGGATGCAGATCGCGTTCTGCGTGGTGTGGGCTGTGCCGTCGGGCTTGACGAAGCTGGCGTCCATGTAGTGGATCGCGCCCTTGCAGTCGCAGCCGAGAGTCAGGCTGTTGGTCAGGTAGCCGCCGCCGTACTCGCCCAGGTCAAATGCGTGCTTCCGCTGGTGAGGATGCTCAGGGCAGCCGTAGGGGACGACCATCTCAGCAAGGGAGAGGCGGTAGAAGATGGGGCGGACCTCGCCATGGTCGTTGAAGGTGATGTCGCTCAGCACGAGGCCTTCCCTGTAGTTGAAGCCGACGTGGATCTTCCAGTTCTGCCAATTGATGTACCGGCCCTCGAAGCTGAAGGAGACGCCCTCGGGCTGTGTGATGTGGATCGGCTTGATCGTCGTACGGTACCCGCCGTTCTTCTCGACGTCGGCAACGTGGTAGTTGTTGGGCGGCGCCTTGCTGAGCGGGCGGCGGACCTTCGGGATATCAATGTGGACGAACTCCTCCTTGATGGGGTCGTACAGCGGGCAGAAGTCCAGCGGATACGTGTACTGGCAGTCATCGACGTGCGGACGGTAGTACATGAGCGCTTGCTGGAGGCGTGTCTTGCTACCGAAGCGCTCGTCGTAGCCGATGGTCCATCCTGGCAGTGCAAGTCAGCGTGGTGCACGCCGGAATGAAAGATCGTTGCGTGCTGGGGAATTAGGACCTACCATCGATGTACACCTTATGCATGTCCTCGGGCGGGATGCCCACGATGCCGCATTGCTCGATGATCTTGGGGTCTGTGCGCGCGACGACCTCAAGGTGCTTGAGCTCGTGGCCTGTGATGATGGGCTGCTCGTCCTCAATCTCGATCCACAGCTCGATACGCGCATTCTCAAGATCAACGATGGCGTCAAAGGCTCGTGACGAGAGTCTAGAGATGACGACGACCTCTGCCTTTCGGCGCGGTCGCGAAGCCACTGCTGGGTTCGCGAGCCATTTCTTCATCTCACTTTTGCGCGGCTCCTGGAGAGTAACGGTGTTGAAGATGAGGTCCTTGTCACCGTGGACGGAGCGGACGATCTCGCTCGCCCGCTCGATCTCATTGGCACTGAGAGGGTCGAAGGGGTGAGGGGGAGGCGCCGAGGCGTCCACCTGCTGAGACAGTTGCTGCAACCGATTGAGGACCATTGTGGGCAGCACTCAATGGGTAGCTATATGTGACTCTGATGTGGTTGAGGTGAGGCACCAGTACTGGCGGCAGCTAGTTCTCAAGATGGGCCGCTTCGAAATATGGCCTCAAGAAGCAGAGGCGCACCAGAAACCTGGCGGACGCTGGACCATATATAACAAGTCAGACGAGGTCATGCTGGCCTATGAGTTGCCGACCCCGTATAACGCCACGCGGTGGATGGCATTGATACTCTGTGCGAGCGACTTCGCCGATAGGTCGACGACGGCTCCTTGAATGCGGGTATGCTGATATGACCACGCATGCCGAGACAGCGGGCACAGTACCACGGCGGCGGCGCCTCCAGCAGCCCTCGCGGCGGCCGCGAGCATAGCCGCGCTTCAGTACGGGCCTCTGGGCCCTCGCAGCAGCGACTTTCGGTGCTGGTGACGGGGTGAAGTTAGATAATTGGAGCTGCAGAAGCCGATAAGATACCCAGGGCCCGTTGCTCCATAACGCCCATGCGTGAAGGCGCGAGCTTCGAGGATAGCCGAGCCCCGCGGTGCCACTTATCTCGGCTGCCGATGCCCCATGCGGCGCGGTCTGGTGGAGCAGCGTCGGTTGGCCATGCCGTAATGGATTCAGTCGTGGCAAGCCGGCTATGCGCCTCCCCAAGCTGTGCTGCAAGCAGGCGGCTGATGGCGGTGATAGGGGACCTCCAAGCCTGCGACGAGGGATCGGACCATGCAGCTGGTCGCAGCTGTGCGACAGCCAGCGGCAGATCTGCTGGACCAAGCAGGGTTCACCAGAGAGGAAAGACGTTCCTCAGACGGGTTGCGCTCGCGACCCTCAACCCTCCTTGGCCAGGCCGAGACGCCGGTCATGGATGGGCGCCTAGACCTGGAATAAGCTTGCGTCGGAGCACGCGGGCGCAGTCAGCTCGTGAGCACGACCCCGCATCTCAACGCTGCTGCGTGAGTGGTCATGCGCAGACTGCGAAGACAGATGCCGCGATCTACTCACATCTCCTTGAGTCGCTGTGTCGTTCTTCGCTATGTCGTGGTCATGGATCAATTGACTCAACGCACGGCAATAGCCACGCGCTCACGTAGGGTCATATGTCACAGGGATGACAGAACACCATCAAGTCCGAGTTGGTCTAGTGGTCATGATTTCCGCTTGTCACTGCAGTAACTTTGGTTCGCGGAACAAGCGCGGGAGACCGGGGTTCGATTCCCCGACTCGGAGTTCTTTTTGCTCCTCGCTAATGAAGCGGTGTACTGTACATACACGACGTGGCTTTGGTGGCATACTACATATCGGAGGCTGAAATGAATGTGCTGACGCTCAGGGGGTCAGGAGAAGGGTATCAAGCGTGCTGTAACAGAAGGGCCGGGAGTCGCCCAATCACCGGTGAAGAACGATCAGTGAGTCCTGTAGCGTAACTCAGAACCGGTCGTGGCAATACCGATCACCAGCAGTATACCCCTGAATCGTCCCTCTCAAGCTCTGGGGGCCCTCGGGTGATAGACGCGACATCGGCTTCATTCAAGGGAGGCTGCTCCTGACTGCCAGACTCCATCTGTGATTCAAGCAGTCGATCGTGCGTCTGAACGGGCAGTGGCGCAACAGGCCAATGCAGTTCCGGGTGCTCCAAAGGAAGAGGCATCGTAACGGGTTCATGCCACCGTGTCTGCTCCAAAGTGAGAGGCACTGCCCAAAGCTCGCGCAGCCCTGGGTGTACCTCAGAGGTAGGCGGCACATCGGTCGATTGCAACAAGTTACCCCTTGGCAGCATGGACACTGAGTCACCTTGACCAGCGCTGAGCTCAGGGGCCGTGAACTGCCAGCCTTCTTCCGCAAGTGTGGTGCTGCCCACGTCAGGACCGTCCCGGTAGCGTACGATGAAATGCTCAACCAGCTCTCCAAGTGCAGTGCCAGCGGCAGCATCAGCGTTAAGGTTGCGGCAACGGACGGTCAGATGCGTCAAATTCGGATCCACCGTACATGCACTGGAGCTGTACGTGATGTCGGTACCGGTGAGCGGATCGGGATACACCCCTTCGCTACTCTGGTCGCAAGGCTGCGGCACCGGCAAAGGGTCGTGGCTAGCGACGGCAATGCTGCCTGGCAGATAGGCAGTGGTGTCCTCAGCCAGCTGTGTGGCCGCCGGTGGCGCATGCGGCCACGATAGCGGCATTGCCGTTGGGAGAGATTCCACAGGTCCCCAGACATGCCCGCTGTCAGGTCGTGAAGAAGGGGCAAGTAATGTGTGATTTGACGACCTGCTTGTCACGAATGCAGGGGTTGTCGGCATACCGGGAGCGTCGTTTGTGCGGCTGGCTTCCACTCTAGCAGTGGGCATGCCATTCAAACCAGTACCTGCATGCTCACTCTGAGAGGTGTCAAGGGACGATACCCCTCTCGGTGAGATGGCTCGGAATCGCTGGTCTGAGGTCGATGGTGACGCCGACTGGTTATCAGCTTGCTGAGCGGGTGCTCGTGTCACGCCTTGCGGCCGCGCCGTGCGTCGCCTGCGATGCGGCTTGGTGACGCCCCATGCCTTCAATCGGCTGCGGTACCGCGTCTCACTGCCAGCAGAGTTGAGCAACCTCGCCTCAGGTACTCAGGGGTCGGGATGCACCGGACGACTTACCTTGGATCCCAATCTGGTCTTCTAAGCAGACGCCTGACGTTCTGCAGAGGTAGATTCTGTTCCACATACAGTTGTATGATCTCGGGCTTCCTCTTTTCCCACTCAGCCGCTGAGATGGTCTTTGTCATCCTGGTACTTGAATGGCAGTAGCTGCAGCTGGATCGAGACTAGGACTGGATGCTACAGGACTAACAATGTCGCTGTCGACGAATTGCCTGCGCTGGCTGCTTGGGAGAGGCTGCCATTTATGCCAGCCCAAGAGATGGAGGCAATCAGGGACTCTGAGGAGGTGGTGGACGCAACCTGCTGCGGCGGCTCGTCAGGGTCCTGTTGCTGCTGCTGTCTGTTGCGCCCATGGCCAGGGCCTTTGATGGAACGCGGCTATGCCCATCTTCGCGATCACTAATCGTAGCGAGCTGAGGTTGTGCAACCTCCTGATACAAGACGCTCGTCCCTAGCGCCTCGTTGCACCAAGCACTACCGCTGACGAGGTGACGATGATAGGAATATCGCTCGGGTGAGAGGCACTGCCGCAGACTTTAGGGCCAGTCACAGCAGCAAAGGGACTTGCGCTGGGCCTTGCGGACTAAGATAGCCTGGCACTAACGTCCGTCTGGGCAGGTTCGGAGATTAGATCTCTGCAGTCTCATACAGGTCCACTGGCTTGTATGACTGTCATGGGCGATCAATCTGGGCGCCGACGGCATGGCTATGTTGTTGCTTGATGCGCCCAAACGCACAACCGACAATGTCATGATTGCGAGCAATCGGTCTTGGTTTGACCCAAATCCGACAGGCTGGAACGATCCTGCCGATGTCC